GCAAAGCGTGCCTTGTTCGCTGAGCAGACTTCGGACACTGCTGCGAGTGTGAGTGAGTGAGTACTACTACTACTACTACTACTACTACTACTACTACTACTACTACACCTGCTCCTACTCCTACTCCTACTACTTCTCTACTACTACTACTACTACTACTACTACTACTATGATTATTACTACTATCACTACTACTACCACTACTTACTACTACTATCATTACAACTATCATTACTACTACTTCTACTACTACTACTACTACTACTACTACCAGTACTACTACTATTACTACTGCTGCTACTACAACAACTACTACTACTACTACTACTACTACTACTACTGCCGCCACTGCTGTATTATCAGTATTACTCCTTGTATTACTACTACTGCTACTACTAGTCTCCCACCATCCTCCTGTTCCTATTGCTACTTTTTCGACTACTGCTGCTACTACAACTACAACAACTACTACTACTACTACTACTACTACCACCATTACGACTACATCTATAATTACTACTACTAACTACAAAGTACTAGTGTACTCCAGCGGCTTCCAAGTCTTCAGGTTTCATTTCACAGTGCGGCCAAGCCAAGACTGAAGACAGTGTGCCAAAGTCACAGCAGGTTCGCGCAGATCCTGCTGTCGGCCAGAGACCTGGCCTGATCCTCGGTATGACGGTGGCGAAGGTTTGACCCTAAAGCGCGTTTGGGTGTTGACATTACCCCGGTTCGACTGAGGGGCTGCTATGTCTGACCGGCATCTGCAAGCGCTGAAGCGACTTGAAAAGCGACGAGCAGGCTCTTTGGGAGGGGTTCCGAGATGAAGGGTCGAGGGCTTCAGGTTTTAGGGTGGAAGTATTGAGGGTTGAGGGCTTGAAGTTGAGATGCGGGACAAGATTGGATTGTCATCAGTGTTCGCGAGAGGCCTTCGGTGTGCCGTCTTACACGACGGCCGCTCAGAACAAGATTGGCTCTGGTTGTCCTCTGAAACTCGAGCAAAACGGAAGACTGATGAAAGCAGTCACGGGCTGTCTCGCAGGCGGAGAAGGCTTCGAGATTCCATGTGGCTCCTGGTGGGTCCATGACCTCGAGGTGGACCAGTACCTCCTTCGTGAGGCCGCTCAGAGTATAAGGAGCAAGGGTGATCCTCGACCCAAGTATGGTTCAGTGCGTTTACCTTGTTCCTGGCAATGCGGAAGCTGTGGCTTTGCACGTTTCAGGAGGTGCGCTGAAGTTCCATTCCATCCAATGCTTTTCAGTGCTACGAAAGGATGTGGGATGTTGAGCAAAAGTTACCAAGCAAAGCCAAAGTCGTACGTTGACTTGGGGCTGCATGGCTGCGTTCAGGCTCTGTACGGCTTTCACTGATGCCGTCTGAGTGATGCTGAACCGGGCTGCCTTCGTGTACAGTCACAGCGAGACCATTCCTTGCATTTACCTGGCCTCGTTGCCACTTCCACCGGACTCCTGCTGTTCATGCCTGCTGCCACTGCTCGTGCTACCACTGCTAATCCTACTCCTTGTCCCAGTACTACTATAGACTACCAACAAAGAGAAGAAGACGAAGAATGAGTATTGATTCCTCTACTGCCACCACGACTACTAGTACTACGACTTTTCCTCCTTCTCAGAGCATGGCTACTACCACTACTACTACTACTACTACTACTACTACTACTACTACTATTACTATTACTATTACTACTACTACTACTACTACTACTACTACTACTACTATTTCTACTACTACTGCTACTGCTACTGCTACTACTACTACTACTACTACTACTACTACTACTACTCCACTACTTACTACTACTATCATTACAACTATCATTACTACTACTTCTACTACTACTACTACTACTACTACTACTACTACCACAACTACTGCTACTACTACTACTACTACTACTACTGCTCTACTACTACTACTACTACTACTACTACTATTACTACTACCACCACGACTACTACTACTACTACTACTACTGCTACTGCTACTACTACTACTACTACTACTACTACTACTACCGCTACTGCTACTACTAGTACTACTACTACTACTACTACTACTACTACTACTAC